CGCCCGGGCTCTGCGGCCTTCGCCTCCGGGGGCGTCCCGGGCGGCCGGTGCGGTCGTGCCCAGCCCTACGGCGCTTCTGTGGCCTCATGTCTGTGGTCCGTGTAGGTGCAGCGTCCGAGCGCCTCTTCGCACCCCATGAAGCAGCGGAGAGTGGGCGTCCTGGAAGGCCGCGGGTACAAAGCGGACGGGCGGCACGTCCGCGGTCACCGCCCGAGGGCCACGGTGCCGGGAGCCAGGGTGGGGCCCGGCCCTCGGTCCCGCGCCCCGGAGGCCCGTGTCTGCTCCCCCGGCGTCTGACACCGGCTGCGCCCGTGTGGCCGCGTGGCCGGTCGGGGCCGCCCCCTGCCGGGCCTTCTCCGAGGCCTGTGCCTCCCCTCCACCCGCTGGCGCTTAAACCTGCTTCAGGTGAGCGCCTTCGGTTTTAGCCTGGAGGTGTGAGGGCAGGTGTTTGGAGGTGCCGGTCACCCCGCCGCTCTCCAGCAGTGGACCCTCGTCCTGGGCGCCAGCTTGTGTGCCCGCGACCGGTACAGTGCTCGGTGTCGAGTCCCCGTACTGGCATCCGAGTCACAGCAGTGGGGGCTCCGCCTAGCTCACCCGGCCTCCGAGGGCCGCGCAGCCCCGGCACCACCTAGACGGCGCCTCTCTGCCGACCCCGCCCCTGGGTGCTGTGAGCGCAGTCGCCGTGTCCCCTCAGGCTTCGGGGCTTTGGTTTGGGCCCTCGGGGAGGCCGCCCAGTGCCCTCCTCCAGGGTAACTTGTTAAAGGCGCCCTTTTGCCGCGGGCTTTACTCCCGTCCCACTCATGCATAGAGCTGTTTTACGTCACTGCCGTATTGCTTTGATGATTGTTGCTTTACAACGTAGTTGGAAGCCACGTGCCGTGACGTCTCCGTCTTCCTGTGTTTTCTCAGGTCCAGCTCTCTGGGGTCTTTGATGCTTCCTCACACTTTCTGGAGCAAAGTGGAGAAATCAGGTACTGGCTTAAGGGGGTCAAAGATGTCTTTCTAACAGAAAGTCTGCTAACACATTTGTGTGCTGAAAGGAGCAACCCCGAGCGCAGTACAGCTGCTGGGCAGGGGAGAAGGGCCCGGAACTCCAGGGTGGCGTGTGGTGGGGCCACAAAGTGCCTTGACCTGAGCTACCCGCTGGCCCGTGCCTCCACGGCGAGTGTTGGGGGGCAGGGGGGCTGCCTCGACTCTCCTCTCTGCAGCAACCTCGCAGCTGCAGGTGCTGCCTCGGCATGTGCCCGCGACCGCGACCTGCTTGCCAGGGCAGGCTTGAGGGCCGAGGGGCCCAGTGGGCACATTTCCTGTGGGCCTTCTCGAGGCCCCTGCGGGGCTGCGGCTCGCGGCCACAGCACCCTTGTATTCTGACCACGGGCCTCTGTGCTGGGCTTCTGGGAGGTGGGAGATGCCGGGGAGGCCGGGAGGAAGCTGGGCAGGGGCAGGTGGGGCAGATGGGTGGGGCAGGCGGGGGCAGGCGGGC